AGAGAGAGAGAGAGAGAGTGAAAGAGAGAGAGAGAGAGAGAGTGAAAGAGAGAGAGAGAGAGAGAGAGAGAGCGTGAAAATGAGCACGCATGAGTGTCTTATCACTTACCCATCATAGGAGATCACTTATCTATCATATGATCATAGGTGATTACTTATCTATCATATGATCATAGGTGATTACTTACCCATTATAGTAGACCACTTACCCATCATAGATAAACGCGCAAATTAACAAAGCGTCTTTGCCCCGCAGCTGTCCCTGGCCGACATCTACACATTCACGCTCCTGCAACCGCTGCTGGATGACTCAGCCAAGGCTGCAGCCTTCAAGGACCACGGCGCCATTAAGGAACATGTGAAGCGCATCGGAGCGGTGCCTGCCATCAAGAAATACCTCGATAGCCGTCCAAACACTTTCTTCTAAGGCGTCCAACAGTATTCCCGTTATTCTACTGCCGGGGAAATGGAGAAAAAAAACGGTTTTCAGAACGACTTTGGTGTGTCCTGCTCCGCGTTCTGCTTGTGCGGAGATTTGCGTTAATGTTCTTTACGTGTAAAAAAAAACTGTAAGAAAAAATCGGCAACAGTACGCGAATGTTCTAGTCCGAACCGTCCTTGAGTTTCAGGGATTTAGTGTGGTGTAGTATAGAAGTAAGACAAACAACAGTAATTAATTCGGTGCGGTTTATTACGTTAGTTTTTACGTTGTCACTTGTCGCGTATATAACGCATCGCCGAGCGTTCGTTACGACATGTCACGTGTAATGTCTGCTTCTCTCTATACATCTCTATACAATGTCTGCTTCTCTTTATACCTATATGACCGTCGTTGTGCCCACAGCTCACTCTTCATTTGTCACATTCTTGTTATGGTAGAGTGTACGCAATAAAACAACCCGTGGTGCTCGCTAAAACTGCGTCTGTATGTGTTGCTCTCTAAAATGTATCTATCTCTGTATCTCTGTATCTATCTCTGTATCTATCTCGCTCATCTACTCGTATGAAAGACCCCCCCCCCCTTTAGGGCAGCCCCCCCATGGATGGAGCATGCCGGAAATGAGGCGCGAGACTGCCATATTAGCGTAACCAGTGTAAGTTTGCCCTTTTAGAGTTTATTAAGCGCATTATGAGCGTGACTAGTCTGTTATGTCTCTATGGAGCAACAGCGACTGAAGTTGACGTGAATGCCCGATGCTTGGAATGATGACTTACCAATATTTCAGCAAGTTTTTTTAAAGCCTATGCGAACCCCCAAAAATACGTATGTTAAACCTAATGACGTGTAGCTATATTTGAGTTTCAACTATACGCATTAGTATATAAATTTAACGTGACGCGTTCATTAAGAGTCTGGCCAGTTTAGATTTATATAATAACTCTAATAAATAACTCTATATTTATGTGTACGTGCGCATAGCGTGCAGCGGCGCAGCAGCGTAGCAGCGTGCATTCGGTGGGGGTGTGTTTGCTGTCGTTGGAGCATTTGCAGCACGGCTTGTCGGCAACAATACTAGGGGAAGAAGCCACACACACACCGGCAGCCCTCGTTCGGTACGAATAAATAAGCATGTCGCCCGCGGCGAATCC